TATGGAACCCATTTGATGTACTTTATCCATTTTTTGCTAAAATGATAGAAGTGAGTTCTCTCCTGTGACTGTCTTTATTCATTTTTACTTGTAGTTTTTAAGAATAAACTTTACCTTTTCACTGATCCTACTAACTTATAAATTAAGAATTTTCACTAAATCTATAGCTCTTATTGTCTGTGTTATTCATTTATAATCATGTGTCCTAACCAGTAGTGTGTGTGTGTGTGTGTGTGTGCTTGTATGCTTTGTTTCTATTCTAGAGTAGCCAGTTATATCTTCTAAGTGTACTTCTGAAATATTTCAATATAAAGTTACTTAAGGTCATAAACCTTCAGAAAGCATAATCTATGTGGATCCACACAAATACTGGATATGAACCAGAGTTTAGCTTAGTTGTACTTTAGTACTAATCTAATCTAGACAATCACTAGTTTAAAGGTGATTTTATCTGTGAAGGAAGAATGCAACATGTGTTTAAAATCTGAAACATCTCCAGTAGATAAGAGGGAAGCTTTTAAAAGTAATTTTCACTGCTCTTTGAGGTGGGTTAGCTTGTAATCAAAGCATCTGCTGTTGACCAGTGTTTAAAACAGCACTGGCCATGCACCACTGTGAAATCATAAAATTAACTTAAAAGGGTACCACAGCATCTTTATTAAAATAGTGAAGATAGGAAAACTAATATTATGTCGAAGATGGTAAAGGTATATGTTTTTTTGTTGTTGTTTTTTTGGGGGGGTTTTATTTGTTTTGGGGGGGTTAGTTTTTCAAGACAGGGTTTCTCCGTGTAGCCCTGGCTGCTTGGAACTCTCTCTGTAGACTAGGCTGGCCTCTAACTTACAGAGATCCTCCTGCCTCTGCCTCCTTTGTGTTGGGATTAAAAGTGTGCCACAACCGCCTGGCTCACATGTTTTAAAATAAATATCTATCTTGTTTATATGTATGTACATTTAAAGTATATTCCTTACTGTAAGTTATAACTATAAGCAAAAGGAGGATGTTTTCTTTAAAACAAAACAAAGTTCATATTTTTATTTTCCCACGTTTCCTATAAGATTGTGAATTTTGAGACACTAAATATTTTAAAGGAGATTTGATGCTCTTTTCAGAAAGGTATCGTCAGGGTAAAGAGCAGGAAATAAAAATGTTGGTCAAAAAATGTCAAATCATGATTCAAACTATACAGAAAAAGTCTTTTCTGATGGATCTATATATGATGTATTTAGTAGATCAGTGACTATTACCAATCTGTTCTGATGCATTTTCTTAAATAGCGTTTAATACAGCAAAATAATAAATGTGGAACAAATGTAAGGTTTCTGTTCCATTCCTTCCTGGTTTCTCTTAACTTTTATACCCGTATTGTTCATATCATAAGAATAAGTTGTTTTAAAATTATAAAAACTTGTCTGCATTCAAAAAACAAGTATTCATTCTCTATGTAGCATAAGCAAATAACTTCTTAAATATTTAGCTTTGAATAACACCCAGTTTATTTTGTTTGTTTAAATAAATGTGCCTAAAATTGTGTATAGGATTTTAAAATGGGAAACTTACAAGAATTGTGAACAGAATCAAGACAAGTGTATAATGGACATATAAACATACATATATATCCTAAAGAAGGTAAGGATTATGTCATGCTGAGATTTTTAATAAAATGTAAACATGTCATTTCTCTTTCATCTTACTCTCTGTAGATTTCAGTATTTTATTGTTGTGGTCTACTTAAGAGACTTAAAAAGCATTGGTTTTCACCATATCTGAGAGGCCAGTCTGCTACATATCAAGAACCTCTTTCAAAAACTAAACCAAAACAGAATTGTTTTTTTCAGACTCCTGGTGCCAGATTCCTTTAAGTGACAGGTACATTAAATTTTACATTAAAAAAAAAAAAAGTGGCAAGGCATAATTTTTACCAGAGAAATGACAATCCAGTTAAACCAAACAATCCTTTGTGCTCTCTCAATTTTCAGCAATGTACTAATTAATGCCCTGTAAACTATGAATACCACTACTAACCAGCAGGGGGAGTGAGTCGGCCTTGAAAGGTAAGCGTTAGGAAGGCCACATGACTTCCTGTTTTGAATTTAACTGTTGTGGCAGGCACTCTCCTGTCTTTGTCTACTGGAGGAAAAAAAAAAAAAAAAAAAAAAAAAAAAAAAACCAAAAAGGGACAAAGCCTACCAGTGTGTCAGATGTGGAGATGATGACATATTTAACTATCAAAATTACCTTATAGGAAGCAAATTGGGAAAAGTTTAAAGATGCAAACATTTTTATATTAAACAGTCTTACACTTGAGGTTAAATTAGAAACAGCTCAAGGAAGAATAATGGAACGAAAGATAATCCTTTTAAAACCAGATGTTAAAAACTAAGAAAGTAAAATGTGCAAACTTCAAGATACTGATTTTGTTTTCCCTCTGGTTGGTGGAGTGTGGATGGGAACAAAGCAGAGGGTACAGAACATGAAGGAGGGGAAATGTCACAGTACTATCGTCTATGATGGACAAACAGAAAACAGTAACTTAGAGCCGTGGCAAATTGTTCTGCAGATGTTGGAGTCAAAATTTCTTAGAACTTTGTATTTAAAGTTGAAATTGAATTCTAAATAGACACATTTTTAAAATAAAAGTAAGTAGATCAATTTTTTTGATTTTTAAAAATACACACGCCAGCTAAGGATTACATTTTGCTTGAGTATTTTTACGATGAAGTAATTTTTCACTATGAAAATTGAGAATAGAATTTTCATTATCCCTTATAAACACTACAAATAATACTAACTTTGTAAGATTTATTTGGAGGTATAACTGAGTGATGTGTCAACTTTTAATGTCTCCCAGGAGCCTCAAAATGCCTAATAAGTAGATACATGTTGAATTAATAGATATGATCTATTTGTTATTTCAAGTAGAACTTTTAAGACCTGGGTTTTAGATAACTGTATCAAAATAAACTTAAAGACCCACATGGTGAAGCTGAACAATGAACTGAATTGTGGTAGCCTAGCCTCTTAACCCATGAGGTTAATATGAGGTTGCAGCAATGCTGTCTGAACCAATTCAGACAGTAGGTCCAGGTAACTTATATTTATTCATTTACAACATGTGCTCCTTGAGCTCTTTACTACTTGCATGTCATGGAAAAGTCTTCATTATAAACTAGACAAGGCCTTAAATTCAGTGAAATGCCATTGAAAATTTGGACATTTGTACAAATTCAGTGTGTGCCACCAGTTCTGAGGAAATGGCCCTTTGGAGGTGATCATTTAGCAATGGGGCTAGAGATAATATTGGCAGAGGATTTTGAAGTCAGTTCTCTTGTAATGCACTGTTTTAATACACTGTTAGGTATGTCCTGATATTAAGTCCATTTTAAATGCATCTGAAACAAAACTCATCTCATGATTATTTCTACAGGTACTTAGTACCAAAAGCCCCAAACAAATGGGTACTCCCGGTTAAGCACATGCAGCTCCTTCAAACAGGTCGTGGTGGGTATGAGCTGAAGAATTGTATGAACAATCTAACCTTTTAAAGTCCTATTTTAAATTTTTCTAATGCTTCTGCACATGGAAAAAATCTCTAGAATAGTCTTTTAGTAAGTACATTAATAAAGTGGCATAGCTTTATTGTGAACCATTTCCTTATTGCAAGCTTAATGCATACCAAAATCTAATGGAATAACTCTTGTCACTTCAGTCATCATTCCAGAATACATAGTGTACACAAGCATTAGCTATTTTTTACTTAATTTAATACAGATTAAAATAACTAAACTTACAACCAAAAAAAAAAAAAAAAAAAGGAAAGAAAATAGCTCATACCTAGAAGAACTAAAGGTGACATTAGGAATACCAATATGATTACTTCTGGTGAGAAAAAAATCAAATACAAGAGTTTGTTGAGAAATGTGTACTCACAATGGAAATGCTGTTTTAAGTATTGCTCCTCAAATCTTTTCCTAAAACTTAGGGCTGAGGAGTTAGAGTGCACCTGAGATCAATACCCAGAACCCACTTGAGAAAAAGATGACATGATGGCACATCATTTGTAATCTCAGCTATCAAGGGAGGCAGATAGGCAGGTTCCTGGGGAATCACTGGACAACCAGCTTAGCCTACTTGGTGTATTCCAGGCCAGTAAGGGACCCTGTCTCAAAAAAGAAGTGTCTGGTGTCTGAAGAATGACACTGAAGGTGTGTTTCTGGCCTACACATGTATGAACACCCCTGTATATGTGCATTGGCACATTCATAACACATGAGTACCAAGATCTAAATTGTTTTTAATAGTCATGTTTCTAACTAGCAACTCCTCTCTTCACTGCTTCTAAAATCATCTGTCTAGTGTAGTATCTGTATTACCTTGCATTTAATCCTGAGATCATTTCACTACATGTTTCCTGTACATTGATATTCTTCAAAACTTTTCCTTATATAAGTAAGGAGAAAAATCAATACAAAACCCAGAAGACCTCCAGTAGTACTTGACAGCATTTTACATATGCAAAGATAATTTACCACATATCTTTGCAGGGTATATAAATGTATTGCAAAAGTATTTTTTAAAAATTTATTGGCTTTCCTGCATGAGACCAATCTAGGCCCTCTGCATGTGGGTGGCAGTTGTGTAGCATGGTTTGTTTGTGGGACCCCTAGCAGTAGGACCAGGATCTGTCTCTGGTGTATGGTCTAGCTTATTGAAACCTATTTCTTATAGTGGGACACCTCAGCCTTGATGCAGGTGGGAGGAGCTTGGTCCTGCCTCAGCTTGATATGCCAGGCTTTGTTGACTCCCCATGGGAGGCCTTACCCCTTCTGAGGAGCGCATGGGGGAGGGGGTATAGAAAGGAGGTGTGGGGCCTGACATTGGTGGCGCACGCCTTTAATCCCAGCACTCGGGAGGCAGAGGCAGGCAGATCTCTGTGAGTTCGAGGCCACCCTGGTCTACAGAGAGTTCCAGGACAACTGGGTTGAAGGAAGAAGGGGGGGGTGAAGAAAAACTTGAAGAGCGCATGCGTGCGCTGGCCCGCTTCTTTTTCCTCTCTGGCCAGCTGAAGGCAAGATGGGTCACCAGCAGCTCTACTGGAGTCACCGGCGCAAGTTCCGCCAGGGCTCTCGCTCTTACCCCGTCTGCTCTAACCGCTACGGTCTGATCCGAAAATACGGGCTGAACATGTGCAGTCAGTGCTTCCGTCAGTACGCAAAGGACATAGGCTTCATTAAGTTGGACTAAGCAACCTTGGATGGATTATTCAAGACTGTCTACCCAGTGTAACAGATCATGCTAGTCTTTGTACATAAAGAATAAAAAAATGGAGACCTTCAAAAAAAAAAGAAAGGAAGGAAGGAGGTGTGGTTAAGGAATGGGAAGAGAGGAGGGAAGGGAATCTGGTTGGTAATTTAAAAAATTTTAAAAGAGTTTACTGGCTTTTTTTTAAACTTTGAATGTTGATGGCAGCAGGGAATTCAGAATTGATAAAGCCTCATGTTTAATTTGTATTTACATTAACTCTAGCTATAGTATCACTGTAAGGACATTATAGTTATGAATGCTGCCTCTTTAAGGAGTGCTCACTAGAAAACTAGTTTGAAAATCATTTTGAGGATCACTAAAAATTAATGAAAAGAAAATAAATAATCATGAAAATAATGTGGATTGTAGATCCAAGCTTGGAAGATGGAAGATCTTTATGTTAGAATGAACAAGATTGGTATGAAGATGCACATCTGTAATCATAGCACTTGAGGCAGAACAATCATGAGTTCAAGGCCAGCCTGAGCTACATAGTAAGACCCTGTCTCAAACAACAAAGAAGGCTGTAGTAAAGCAATATTAAAAGCTATAGACCTTTCAGTCATTGAACACGTGGAACATGTATGTCCTAGAAACAGTAAATGGGAAATGAGTAATTGTTTCTTTCCTCATATAGCTAACAACACAGATTACTATCTGATACATTTAAAATAAGCAATAAGTTACATCAAAAGTACTGTGAAGTAACTGAGGCTAATGAAGGTTTTAATAAAGCTTTGCAGCACGGTAAATTTTGAATGTCATTGAAGTAATTTCCAAATAGCTGACAGGGAAATAGGAACTAAATTAGTTATTCTGATGAAGAGGCAGAACATATAAAAATATATGTGTATTAGAAGGTTTTATAAGCTGAAAACCAGTTTGGGTGTAACAGATTAAGAGTCTGAGATGTGGTACTCTATCTAGTCAAAAATTGGCTTTTAGTCCCACGGGTAAATATGAAAACTGTGTTTTAGAGTAACTGCACAGTAGCATTAGAACTGCTAGTTACATTATCCACACAAGATAAGGAAAGTGTGGCTAACCTGTAAATTCCATACAATTTTAAAATATGAATCTAGTTTAAAGTAGTTGCTCTTTGACAGACTGCTTTTTTTTTACCTGAACTTTTGTTTTGACTATGTTGCTCTTGTAATTTCAATTAAAGCAAACCAAACCAAACAAACAAAAAGGTCAGAATGGATGGAGGAAGGGGATTCAATAAGAAATTAATATAATCATATATTCAAATCACATAGGAAAGCTGGGCTATAAAAAGCAGCTGAAGGGGAGCAAGAAGACTTTAAAGGTGAAATAAAAACAAAGACAAGGCAATGAATATGTAACAGAAAGGATGAGGGAGTCAGTGTTACTGATCCTGCCGGCTTCCGGATATGCTTGAGATGCAGGACCAAGTGTAGACTTTGAGCAGATAGAGTAAGTTTGATGCTAGAAAAGTTAAACTTGAGGTGCCTGTTGGCTCACAGGCTATCTGGTTAGGTAGTTGGAAATACATGTAGCTATCCAGGAAACGGAACTAGAGAGAGAGCTAGGAGTCATCTTCATACTTGTGCTAATTGAAATTACAAAGTTGAACACAGAAGGTTTATAAAAATAAGCCAAGAATTATGAGAGACACTTGCTATGGTTTAATAACCCACTAATTTCCTTCTAAAGCATCCTAGAAGAGTTTTTATTTATTCATTCATTCAAATATTTCAGATGCTGGGCTCTACCTTGTAAAACCTTGCATCACCTAATCCTGGGAGTTACTCAATTACTTTGTTTTTTACATTTTGCTTGAAAATGGAAGGTCAGGAAAACAAGGGGATTTCCTAAGAAAACAAGAGGTTAACACTTTACTTTGAAGCAGCTAATTATTAACATTAAATGATACTTTGTATCTAGACCTAGACAGCTTAGCTACACCTTTAACTTTCCAGTTAGTCAGGAGTTTTTAGTTGCAATCCAAACTACACATCCACCTGGCTACTTAATACTGCCTGTGACCTTTATCACTTGGCTTTTGTTTCTCTTGCTGCCAGCCCCTCTCATAAAAGCTACCCAATCACTTAGTTTCTACTCTCTAAACATTTTGGGTCTTTTAAATCAAAGGTAATATCGGGTTGTTTTGTTTTTTCCTGTTGTCTAATGGTAAGAGGGATTAGAAGGAGAGGGGAAGTGAAGATTACCATTTATTTTAGAGCAGTGTTTCTCAACCTCTAGGTCATGACCCCTTAGGGTCAAATGACCCTTTCACAGGAGTCAGCTAAGACCACTGCATATCAGATTTTTTTTTGTTTTTTGTTTTTTTGTTTTTTGAGACAAGGTTTCTCTGTGTAGCTTTGGAGCCTATCCTGGTACTCGCTCTGGAGACTAGGCTGGCCTCGAACTCACAGAGATCCACCTGCCTCTGCCTCCCAAGTGCTAGGATTAAAGGCGTGCGCCACCAACACCCAGCCAGATATTTATATTATGATTCATAACAGTAGCAAAATTACAGTTATGAAGAAGCAAGGAAAATAATTTTGTGGCTGGGGTCAGTAACATGAACAAATGTATTAAGGGGTTGCAGCATTTGGAAGGTAGAGAACCACTACTGTAGAGGTTTCTGCTTTTCACGACGATCAAAAAGTCATACCTGAACTTGTGAGACGGCTCAGTGGTAATCACACTTGCTATGCAGGCCTGAGTTCTATTCTGGAACCCATCTGAAGGTAGTTGGAGAAAGCAGACTCCAAATTGTCCTTTGACTTCCATTCACACACCATGGCATATACATTCCCACACATACAATACTTTTTAAAATTAATGGATGGCACATATGTTATAAATCATATAAAAATAGAATTATAGTCAATTATTCAAAAATAGTTTTATAGAAGTCTAAAGCAGTACCCATATAGCTAAATCATATTCATATATATATATGTATATGTGTATATATATATATATATATATATCCTTTGAAGTATAAGACTTTAAGATTTGATGAAGCCAGTATGAACTTTGTGTGTGTTGTGTGTTTGTGTATATATATATATATATATATATATATATATATATATTTTATATGCTGTGTGATTCCTTTCATTCACTTGAACTGACAGGAGAGACCTGTGTGGACAATGACGGCATGTTACTGACTATATGAAGATAGGTAGACACCAGATAGGCTACAGTGTTCTTTTTGAGATTATGAAAATGCATATATATATATATAATTTTGCATGCATATGTGATTAAGGGGCAAGTACAAGTCGGTTAATTTGGAAGGCAATACTGACATATGGCAGATAAGATTCTACTCAAGAACCAAGGTGCTGTTCAACAAGTGGTGCCAGCACAACTCAGTAGCCAAATGCAAAGACCCTTCCCTCACACCATTTTCAAAAATTAACTAAAAAATCAATGACATATGTAAAATCAAAATCTATAAAACTGTCAGGAGAAAACAGGTAAAGTTTGTGACTTTGGATTTGTCAAAGGATTCTTAAATATGGAAACAAAAATGTCAGTTACTCAAACAAATTCATACTGGCCTCATCCAAATCTTATACTTCAAGGGGCATCCACACCACTAAGAGTGAAAGTGGAGAACAAGAACAGCAATCTACAGAACAGGAAAGAAAAACATCTACAATTATATAAGAGATCTGTATGTGTAATATATAACGACGCTCAAAAATAAAGTAACTTGATTTTGAAATAGGCCATAAGTCTGACTAGATATTATCCAAAGAAGAAATACAAATCCATTAAGAGCATGAAAAGGTATTTGACATCATTAGTCACTAAAGAAATGGAACAGCACTTCATTGGCTGGAAGAAAAAGATTAAAAACAAAGATATGGAGAAACTGGAACCTTTGGTACTGCCTTAGGAATGTGTACCAGTTTAGAAAACAGGTCTAGCTGTTCTTCAAATGATTAAACATTTAGTTCCATGTGACTTAGCAATTCTAGAGAAATAAAAATGTGCATCCAGATAGAAATTTGTGCCCCCCAAAAGCAGCATTATTCACAATAACCAGAAGTGGAAACAAGTGACTATGAACCAGCAAATGTGGCATATCTATACCATTGCATATTATTTGGCCATGAAAAGGAATGGAGTACTGATACATGCTGCAATGTAATTAGTTCCTAACAGAACACAATTAAGTGGAAGGAGCTAATCACAAGATTTTATATGCTGTGTGATTACTTTCATTCACTTGAACTGACAGGAGAGACCTGTGTGGACAATGACGGCATGTTACTGACTATATGAAGATAGGTAGACACCAGATAGGCTACAGTGTTCTTTTTGAGATTATGAAAATGCTCTAAAATTTACTGTAGTGATGGTTACACAAATCTGTGTGAATATGAAAAAAAAACAGTGAGTTGTACCCTTTAAAGGTTGAGTTGTACAGTTTGTATTAATTCCATCTCAATAAAAGTGGTTAAAGCCAAACAAGGACTTCATTCGAACTGAGTCTATCTGAATCTCAACCAATCCAGGTTTCCATTCCAAAGTGACACTTGGATTTGACTTCCGTAGTTCAGGAAAGGAAATATATATGAACATATTTGGAAGACTCAAATAATGTAAGAGAATAGCCTCAGAGCCATGTTATATGTAGTCATCCTCAAAAATCCCAGGAACATGATATGTTCTTGGTGAGCATTGTTTACTTTGAATTCAATCAGTTCTCTTGATGTAGAACCATGTTGACAAAGCAGATGCTTAGAAAACTTGAACACCAAATCAGCGGCAGAAACTCAGAGCATCATCAAAGCTGATGAAAATTTGTGAATTTATTTTGAAATTCAGGTTTTATTTCTACCAAATAGCTCAGCAGTTCCTCCCATCCTTTGACCCTTCATGAAACAGTGAGTTTAACCCTCTTCTGAGAAACAACATTCTCAGAATCTTAAACTCTAGAGGCAGGAGGATCAGGAGTTCAAAGCCTGCCTCCCCTATGTAGCAAGTTCAAGGTTAGGAAGAACTATATGAGATTGTTTCGACCTAAAACAAAAGTGTGATTCTTTAATGACTCTTAAGTTTTAGATATGAAGTATCAGTGCAACTCTTCCACAAAATTTCACAATCTAGTCATCTTACTGCAATAAAGTGAAGAAACTCTAATGTATTAAAAATAGCATAAAACCAAAAACAGAATAATTGAGGCAAGCCTCTGGTTTCTACAGAAAGAACTTTGTAAAACTCCTGAGAACTAGAAAACCCTGGAAGAACTGTTCTCAGATTAATTTACAGCTCCCCCATAGAAGATGAAAAGTGATTCTAAAATTTTAAATCAAAAAAGACAAAGATGCCTTTAAAGAAAAAGAATTGTAAGTGCTGAGAATTTCTTTAAATATTAGAGTTGTGAAACTAAAAATTTGCAATATGATTACCTTAGAGATTTGCAGACACTTGGAAAATACTTCATTATATGAGCCAAAAGGAGAGGGAGGATATTTAATATATGATGTTGGTAAATAGCCAGAAACTTTGAAGTTTCTGCCCTCCCTTCCTCCTATCATCAATTTGCAGGGGTGTGTGTGAGAGAGGATGGAGATGTTTACTGGGAATTCAGCCCAGGCTCCCCCGCCCCCCGCACGCTAAACCTAGTGCCCTACCATGGAGCTATGGTCTTAGCTCTTCATTTTATCTTCTAAATATCTGTTGATTTTATATATTTATCTTTGTTTCCAGAAACACCAATTTAGTCATATGTAGTTATAATTACCCAGTAAATAAATACAGTTGAAGGCCTAAATTTTTAAATGTGAAAACACTGAATTATTTACAATTATAGATTTGGGTAGATAACAGAACTCAGGATATGAGCAAAATGTCTACCATAAATCTCACCTACCATTACTGTAATAGCTTGCTCACTGGGCTTCTGGCATCCATAAAGATACTCCCCTTTCCCCCAACTTTCTCCTGCTGTCACAATTATCTTTTCAGAACATAAATTTGATACTATAATTTTGCTGCTTAAAACTCTTAAATGGCTGGGGCTGGAAAGATGGCTCAGAGGTTAAGAGCATCGACTGCTCTTCCAGAGGTCCTGAGTTCAATTCCCAGCAACTACATGGTGGCTCACAACCATCTGTAGTGAGATCTGGTGCCCTCTTCTGGTGTGCAGATATACATGGAAGCAGAATGTTGTATACATAATAAATAAATAAATAAATAAAATCTTTTTAAAAAAAACTTTTAAATGGCTGGCGTTATTGTAAAGAAAGAGATAAGACCCTTTAGTAAGTCTCAGACTCTGCATGGCATGTCTGTAACTGCCCCCACAACCTCATTGCCATCTGTCTCCACCTTATCGTCTTTGCTCCAGCTGCCAGAGCCCCCTTTCCCAATTCTTTGAAAAACATTATGCTCCATCATGCCAATGCACTCACAGTTCTTCTCCTTTGGATCACTCACCTCAATTTGTGTTTAGAAATGATGATGTGGTTATTTTATTTATGTCTGTCTATATGATCTAAACTGTAAATTCCACTAAGGGACTATACATGGTTTGCCAGCACCTAACAGAATATGTTTGATAAATACAGAATGACTGCTCCAATTAAAGAACATAAAAGAATCTAAATTCTCACATTACATGTCAAGTAAATTAGCAAGTTTGGAGTTTTCAAATGGAAAATCAAACAACTCACTTTATATTATTTTGGGCAAATCAATAGAGCTCCAGATATGATTATTTTATATTTATTGTTAATATAGGTATGAATGCCACAGTTCACTTGTGGATGGAAGAGAACAATTTGCAATAGTCTGTTCTCTCCTTCTACCATGTAGGTCTTGGGTTTGAACTCAGGTCTTCAGGCTTGGTGACAAGTGACCTTACCTGTTAAGCCATATCACTAGCCACAGGAAATGACTTTAAACAACTAAAAACTCATAAGAAAATTGGTAAGTATTAAGATATCAAACAACTAAATGTCTTATCTATTGAATCCATAAAGAAATGTGTATCTTTTAAAGATCCTATTATAGGAGAGTAATAATTTAATATAGTGTAAAATTAGAAAAACATAATGCATAATGACAATCACTTAAAGGTTGGTCAGACCAGAAAACATTGTCTGTTAGATGTGGGCCCAGAGTCATTTTCTTCACCATACTTTCTATAACCACAGTCTTTGTATTTGATCAAGAGCAACCAACCAAAAGATAGATTGTTTTTTAATTACTAAAAATTACTCTATTAAAAAAAGAATTACTCTGATGTATTGCTGAGTCTAACCAAATCAAACTTTTATAAAATGGAAAATTGTCCATGTTTTATAGTTTGAGAATTTAAA